CCACGTTTCCATAGAAGGGGATTAAGCCAGACTTAGTTGGACCATGTGTCCCATGGCTACAGGTCCTGTGGAGAGGGAGCCTGCATGGAATGCATCACGCTTATAGGGAAGGTGAGGCAGGGACATCTATACCACCACCATGAAAGCTGTTGGAGGAAAGAAATGATCTCATTGGAAAAGGGGACTATTTTTCCATTACTTGCTGGTACCTGCTGAGCTAGCGATCTGGTGAGCTACTGAAAGGGGACAGGAAATGAGTCTCCAGGACGATCCCATTTGTTGTTCCTCACTTGGGCAGGCACCAAGAGAACAGCATCAGCAAACCAATTAACCACATAGGAACTGGAGGCCCTTACACTCTGCCTAGAACCCCACCTAACCATTTCAGATAAGAATTCCAAATTGTCCCTATTCATTTACCCTTTATTCTTATTGAAAATCTCATCCTCATTAGACAATCCTTGTCATGTAGCTTCTGTGCCATGTTTGGCTTCTATGTGACATTGAGAAGTCTAAACGTATCCCTTAGCCAAAGTGGCTGCTTTTTCCAGCAAAAGCCCTCCTAGAAACGGACACATAAATATGAATTCTGCATTTCCCCTGCTTTCTCCTGCCACAAAACATACTGGGCTGTTTCCCAGTCCCACTGCTCCACTGGGGGACACTGTGCTATTGTCCTGTGTGTAGTTGGTACCATTCTGCATCTCATATTGCTAAGCCACCAGCATTTATCTGTGGTCATTTAGGTCAATTATTAAATCTTGTTCACTCAGAATTTCTTTTACTTAAACAGGCATTTAAGTCTCACTGAATTAATGTGATTTAGTAATGACCCTCCTCTCTTTGTGTGTTGTTAGGGTCTCAGCCACCACTTCAGCAGTTTCCTTGCAGGTGGGAAAGGCCTCTACCAGGGTGTCTACCATGGTAAGCAGATACCTGGTCTTTTTGTGGGGAGGCATATGGGTGAAGTCTACCTGCCAGTGCTGCCCTGGGAGGTGTCCCCTCATTTGATGGGTGGGAAAGTTGAGGCGCATTCCTCCCTGGGGTGAGACAGCCGCACACGTGGGACAGGAGAAGCAGGCACTCGTGATCACCTCTCGCAGTGTGGGCGAGGTGAAGAGGGTTAGGCCAGGGGTGGGCAAACTTTTTGACTCGAGGCCCACAATGGGTTCTTAAACTGGACCGGAGGGCCGGAACAAAAGCATGGATGGAGTGTTTGTGTGAACTAATAAAAATTCAAAGTAAACATCATTACAAAAAAGGGTACGGTTTTTTTTTTTTTTAGTTTTATTCATTTCAAACAGGACGGATCCGGCCCGCGGGCCGTAGTTTGCCCACGGCTGGACTAGACCATTTATGGGATCTCTTTGAGATTTTACCCAAAGGTAGGGAAAGAACACCATTGCAGCTTTTATTATTCTTTTCATTATTATAAGTTGAAACAGTGGTCCAATGTGCAAAGACCAGTGGATCTGTTGGGCAATGGCCCCTGCTTGGACCCAAGGAAGGGCGATTTTGTTATTTATAAAGATCCATCCCTCAGGACCGGGAGAGCCTCCCCGCTGCAGGAGTTTATTTTTCTCATCTTCTGTATATTGAGGGGTAATGGAGGGAAGGGAAAGGAACAGGACTGGGGCTGGGGACCCTCTACCCTGAGTTAAGCCTTTGGCCACCGCGTCTGCTTGGGCGTTTCCCCGTGTAACCAGCGAGGAGTCAGTCTGATGGCTTCGGCAGTGCATGATGGCTACCTGGGAGGGAAGCTGTAAGGCATCAAGTAAGCGTGTTATGAGTCTAGTGTTGATAATAGGTGAGCCTTTAGTAGAGAGAAAGCCCCTCTCCCTCCAAATTATCGCGTGACAATGGGCTATCAGAAAGGAATACTTGGAGTCTGTATATATGTTTACCCTCTTCCCTTTGGCCAGATGTAGGGTGCCGGTCAGTGCGATGAGCTTGGCCTTTTGAGAGGTGGTACCCTCTGGGAGTCGGGCCGCCTCCAGGGTCCGCTGGGGTATTACTACCACACAGGAGGCTTTCCGACGTCCCTGGGGGTCCAGGCACGAGCTACCATCCACAAACAGAGTAAGGTCAGGATTGGAGAGAGGAGAATCTGGGAGTCCTGCCCGAGGTGAGTGAGGGCCTCAACGACCTCGGGGCAGGAATGCGTTGAGGCAGGTTGGGTGGAGGCAGTGGGAAGGAGAGTGGCTGGGATTAGGGCTGGGGACTGGGTCAGGGAGATGTCAGGATTCTCGAGGAACAGGAGATGGAGTTCCTGCATGCAAGAGGGGCAAGGAGAGATAAGGATCGGTGGGACAGGAGATCCTGTAGTCTGTGGGTGGAGAAGACCTGTAAGGGTTGTTGGAGGCAGAATTTTGGGGCCTCCTTGGTGAGAGCGGCAGCTGCAGCCAGAGCCCGGAAGCAAGGCTGCCATCCCTGGACCATGGGGTCAAGCTGTCTAGACAGGTAGGCTACGGGGGTGATGGCTGGCCCTAGGGGCTGGGTGAGGACCCCAATAGCCATTCCCTGTCTTTCATCAGTAAATAGTTGGAACAGCTTAGAGGTGTCCAGGAGAGAAAGGGTGGGGGATGCCAGAAGGGCATTCCGGAGCTTAGAGAAAGCCTGACAAACCAGGGAGGGTGAGGAGCGGGGGCCCGCTGGTGTTTCTTTAGCAGCCTGGTATAGGGGCTTAGCTAGGAGAGCAAAGTTTGGGACCCAATGGCAGAAGAATCCTACCAGTCCCAAAAAGGATAAGATCTGCTCTGAAGAAGTGGGAGGCTGTAGGTCTCGTATTGCCTGTGCTCGGTCAACTGTCAGTCCTCAGGAATTGGGCATCAGACAGATCCCCAAGTAAGTGACGGTGGGGGCCGACAGTTGCGCCTTGGCTGGGGATACACGGTATCCCTTGTCTCCTAGAAAGTTGAGGAGACTAGATGTATGCCTCTGAGACATGTCCAGGGAGGAGCTGCAGAGGAGGAGACCATCCACATACTGGAGAAGAGTGCTGGGTTCTTACAAGCATTGTTGGAGTTATCTGGCTAGGGCCTGGCCAAACAGGTGAGGACTGTCTCTGAACCCCTGGGGCAGGACTGTCCAGGTGAGATGGTGGGATGCCTGCTCGTCTGGGTCCTCCCAAGTAAATGCAAACAGATGGAAAGAGTCTGGGTCCAGAGGGGTAGTAAAGAGGGCATCCTTGAGGTCGAGGACAGAAAAGTGGATGGTACTGAACTGGATGCGTGAAAGGAGAGTGTAAGGATGGGGACCACCGCTTCGTTGATCAGCCGGAGGTCCTGAACCAGCTGGTAGGTCCCATCTGTCTTCCTAACTGGGAGGATGGGGGTGTTGCAGGGAGAGTCGATAGGTATGAGGAGACCCTGCCCCAAAAGCTGAGTAATGAGGGTTTTGAGCCCTCGGCGGTGAGTTAGGGAGATAGGAAACTGGGGACGGGAGGGAAACGAGGTGGGGTCCTTAAGCCTGATCTTGACCGAGGCATGGAGTCTAGCAACCACCAGGGTAGAAGTATCCCACACTTTTGGGTGGAGAAGGGACACAGGCAGTGGGGGATCGACATCCTCGTGAAGGGAGGGGGCCAGGAGCAGAAGAAACAGGGAGGCTGAAGGGCTCCAAGTGAGCTGCAGAGTGGCCCCTAGTTTGGTGAGGATATCTCGTCCTAAAAGGGGCACAGGGCATGAAGGCATGACTAAGAACAAGTGGGTTATAGGGCTATCATCGAGGAGACAGGGAAGGGGTCTGGTGGCCAGCGGGCAGGTGGATTTCCCATCACTACTCATGACCGAGATCATGGAAGGAAAAAGGGGCCCTGAAAAGGAGGGCAGGACAGAGAAGGTAGCCCCCATATCAACCCGGAAGGAGACCGGCTTACCTGCTACGTTTAGTGTTACCCTGGGCTCGGCGAGGGTGATGGGGGTCGTTGAGTCCGGGCACCTTTAGTCTTCAGCCAGTCCCAGCATGGCCAGTGGCGGGTCATGACCTGGAAGGGCGGCTCCTCAATGCTGAGACGCAGAGGGCCCGTCACTTTTCCAGGGTCAGTCACGTTTCCAGTGGCCGCTTTGACTGCACGCCAGGCAGGACTTGGTTGGAGCCTGGGGCCAGGGGCACTGCTTTGCCCAGTGGCCTTCATTTCCACATTTGAAGTATTCTCCGGGTGGCGTTCGTCCTCTCATTGCACCCCCACTGCGCATAGCCCCCTTGGGACAATGCATGGCTGCTGTCGGCCACAGGGCCGCAACCAGGGCTTGGGTTTGCAGGTCTACCTTCTGTCAAAAGCAGGCCTCCAGATCTGACTCTGCCTGCTCCTCACAGGCATTAAAGACCTTAAAGGCCATGTTCACTAGATCTCAGACTGGGGTCTGAGGGCCATCCTCAGCCTTTTTTAACTTTTTCCGAATATCTGGGGCTGACTGCAAGTTGAAGTGGGTGGCTAAAACTGTCCCTCCAGCCAGGGACCCAGGGTCCAGATGAGTATACAAGGTCAGCGCCTCAGTCAGCCTATTAAGGAAGACTGCGGGGTTCTCATCTGGTCCCTGAGTGATTTCTCTGTTTGTCATAATTAACTACCTTGTGGGAGACAGCCTGTAGGCTGGCCATCAGGCATTGGAGCATCTGGTCTCGGCATCGGCATCGGCGCCCATTTTGCCCTTCGGGGGTACCTAGTTGATACGCCCAGCCCGGATCCTGGCGAGGAATGGCCTGGGTCCCCACTGGCATATTGGCATCTGTAAGGTGAACCTGATCTGCATGGTTCATTGCTGCCCCCAAGACTCTCTCCCTTTCATCTGACATTAGGATGGGAGAAAGAATGAATGGCATGAATGTCATGCCAGGTGAGGTCATAGCCCAAGAGCGGTATCGGAATTCCTTGATGAACAAGGTGGGGTTGGTGGAAAAGGACCCCAACCGCTTCTCAATCTGGGAGAGATCCGACAGAGAGAAGAGAACATGGACTCAGTCTACTCCCTCAGATGCCACAACCTCCGAGAGGGGACAGAAGAGAGGAGGGGCCTGCAAACGTGTGTGTTTGCTGACTGGGGAAGCAGGGAGGGGTGGGGGAGGGGGAGTCGCCTGGCGACTTGAGCTCCCGGCTCCTGCAACAGTGGCCACAGCAGTGTCCTGGGAGTGGGGCGGAGGAGGGGGAAGGTCAGCAGGTAGGGGAGAAGGTGTTGCCGGAGGGAGGTTGGGTAGAGAAGGGGGAGGAGAGGGTGCGGACAGTGAGGCGGAAGGAGCTTTGGGGAAAGGGCCTGGGTAGGGAGGCGGACGAGTCGGAGGGTAGGAAAGATTTTGGGGGGGGTTCAGATAAGGCGGAAAGTGGAGGAGTATCGGTAAGCAGAGTAGGGAGCAAAGGCACTTTTTTAATACAGCTGTTCAATGAGGGGCGGGGGGCATGAGCTTTGGGAGTTTCCACCGCGAGCGGGTCCCTCACGGGTTCCAGGAAGTAGTCTGTGTCGCCATCTGTCTGGTACTCTGTCCTGTTAGGAATTCCAGGGCAGGTCCATTATCTGTGTCACCATCTACCTGGTGCTCTGGCCTGTTACGGATTCCAGGAAGGGCCCAGTATCTGCGTCAGCATCTGCCTTGCGGTGGCCTGCATCAGCTCCTGGGCTTCCCTCCGACCTAACAACACCAACAGTTAGAGATTCATGCCATTCTCCATGTCTCTCACACATAAAGTTGTGGTCTTATTCGGACTAATTGGGTACCTGGGTCCATATTTCCGAGCAAAATCACCACAGACCTGGGACCTTTAAAAAGATTCCTTGCATGCTGGGCTTCCAATTCTCTGTGACTGTTTAAAATGCCCCTGCAGCCAAAACCGGTTTGGCTCAGTAGATAGAGCGTCGGCCTGCGGACTGAAAGGTCCCAGGTTCGATTCAGGTCAAAGGCATGTACCTTGGTTGCGGGATATCCCCAGTAGGAGATGTGCAGGAGGCAGCTGATCGATGTTTCTCTCTCATCGATGTTTCTAACTCTCTATCTCTCTCCCTTCCTCTCCGTAAAAAATCAATAAAATATATTAAAAAAATAAAATAAAATAAAATAAAATGCCCCTGCAATGTCTCTGGGAGACCTATATATGTGGCTTCGCATGGGATATAGGCAGGATTTTCAGTGTTGCTTACTGCATTTTTAAGCATGGGCAGCAGAAATTCAGCACTCTTTTGGGGTCACCAACCCTGCACCCAGCCCCTCTCTTTGGCCTGAGCACGCCTACCAACTCTACCATGGTAATGACAGAATGGCACACATTGCTTATAAAGTGAGACATCCCTCAGATGCTTGGTGGTTTTCAGATATGCATACCCTTGATGACCTGTGTAGTTTCACGAGTGTCCTTACAGTGAACACAAAAGTTTAAATCTCTTGTCTTTCATGATTTTGTGGGGTTTTCTGACTCAAGTGAATAATGAGCCATTTTCCGCGGTCCCCTCTGGCCGCTTACAGGAAGAGGAAGTTCCTCTCCTTATGAAATTCTACTTTAAAAATCACCAGACCCATATTTACCTTGAGCTTCCTCTTTTGTATACCTTCCTCTGACAAATCTATTTTGGAAGAAAACAACATCATGATTATTCATCACAATGACCACTCTCTCTAAAGCTTTATTCCTTCTAAGTGAAATGGTAACTTTTTTGAGGACAGAAACTCTGCCTAGTCCTTTGACTCTTCCATAGTCTTAACTTAGGACCTTGCATGCAGTTGGCAATGCATTTTATTGGCTGTTTCAGATCACATTCAGCAGATAATTCCTGATAAAAACTCTTAGAAGTAGAAAAGAAAATGAAAGTGCCTACCAGAAACCTACACAGCAGGTTTGTTTTAGGTCAAGAACAAGAGTAGAATGCCTGTTATTACTGATATTATTCATCATTGTTGAGGAGGTCCTAATTAATTTAATAGAAAAAATGAAGTACTGGAAGGAAAGAGACAAAACATATTTGCACGTGAGATATTGCACAACCTAAAAAGCCCAAGAGCATAGATTAAAATTTTATTCAGTAAGATGGCTAAATCAAGACATGCAAATCTCAATACCACAAATAACTAATTAAAAAATGAATGAAAGAGTCCATTTACAATATCAATAAAATGTATAAAAAAATAAGCTTGACAAAACATGTGTAAGACCCATTAAAATTCTTCTGAAGGACTTTAGAAAGAATACACAAAGTGAGATACCATGTTTCTAGATGGTAGTAAAGATGCCAATTCTCGTCATAGCTGGTTTGGCTCAGTGGACAGAGCGTTGGCCTGCAGACTGAAGGGTCCCAGGTTTGATTCCAGTCAAGGGCATGTACTGTGGTTGCGGGCACATTCCCAGTGGGGGGTGTGCAGGAGGCAGCTGATCAATGTTTCTCTCTTATCGATGTTTCTGACACTCTCTGTTCCTCTCCCTTCCTCTCTGTAAAAAATCAATAAAATACATTTTTTTTAAAAAGATGCCAATTCTCCTTAAATTAATCTACAAATGCAATGTAATCCTATTCAAATTCCAAGATAATTTTTTAAAAAAAACTGTCCAACTGACATTTGGTAAAGAAAATATGCAATGAAATGTATGAAAAAGATCAAAAAGTAGAAGTTTAAATTCCAAAAAGGAATTTAAAATGGAACTGGAATTATATAGTGACACAGGCCCTAGCCAGTTTGGCTCAGTGGATAGAACGTTAGCCTGTAGACTGAAGCGTCCTGGGTTCCATTCTGGTCAAGGGCACATACTCGGGTTGCAGGCTCCATTCCTATCAGGGGACATGAAAGAGGCAGCTGATCAATGATTCTCTCATCATTGATGTTTCTATCTTTCTCTCCCGCTCCCCTTTTCTCAGTAATCAATGTGTGTGTGTGTGTGTGTGTGTGTGTGTGTGTGTATATCTATAATAATAAAAGGGTAATATGCTAATTAGACCAGAAGTCCTTCTGGGCGTCATTCCGAATGTCCTGGACAAAGCCGGGGCCAGAGGAAAGCCTGGGTCCCAGGTGCCAGAGCGAAGCCTGTGCCGGCAGCCGGGGGAAGGAAGGCCTACTCTTGCACGAATTTTCGTGCATCAGGCCTCTAATATATATATATATAGTGACTAGAGGTCCGGTGCACAAAAATTTGTGCACTCGCGGTGGGTCCCTCAGCCCGGCCTGTGCCCTCTCAAAGTCTGGGACCCCTCAGAGGATGACCACCTGATGGCTTAGGCCCGCTCCTGGGGGATTTGGGCCTAAGCTGGCAATCAGACATCCATCTGACAGCCCGGGAGCCCTCGGGGGATGTCCACTTGCCAGCGGGGAGCAGGCCTAAGCTGCAGTTGGACATCGTTAGCGCTGCTGAGGAGGCGGGAGATGCTCCCACCACCACCACTGTACTGGCAGCCATCAGCAGGCTTGTGGCTGAGCAGAGCTCCCCCTGTGGGAGTGCACTGACCACCAGGGGGCAGCTCCTGCATTGAGCGTCTGCCCCCTGGTGGTCAGTGTGTGTCATATTGACCAGTCATTCCCAGTCGTTCTGCTGTTATGGTCAGTTTGCATATTACCCTTTTATTATATAGGATAGAGGCCAGGTGCATGGGTGGGGGCGGGGTGGTTTGCCCTGAAGTGTGTCCCGGATCAGGGTGGGGGTCCCCATTGGGGTGCCTGGCCAGCCTGGGAGAGGGGATGATTGATGTTTACAGGCTGGTCAAGACCCCCCCCACACACAGTGGGGACTCTCACCCCATGGAGGTTTGGCCAGCCTGGGTGAGGGGCTGAGGACCGTTTTCAGGCTGGCCAAGCCCCCCTGGCGACGGAAGCTCCCAGCTTCTCCTTTTTTTATTTTTATTCTGAGGTTTATTTACCTTCTATAATTGAAACTTTGTAGCCTTGAGGGGAGCTCAGAGCCAGCCAGGGCGGGCGGGAGGGAAGCTTGGCTTCCTCCATTGCCAGGGGCAACCCTAGCCTCCTGCTCGCTCCAGCTACGTGGCCACAGCTGGCTGAAAGCAGGTATCTGGGGTTTATTTATCTTCTATAAATGAAACTTTGTTCCTTTGAGTGGAGCTCAGAGAAGGCCGTGGCAGGCGCTAAGCTTGGCTTTCTCCATCATTGGGGCAACCAAGCCTCCTGCTCGCTCCAGCTCCGTGGCTGCCGGCTGTCATCTTGGTTTGGTTAATATGCATATAGTCACTTTGATTGGCTGGTGGGCATGGCTTAAGGTGTAGCAAAGGTATGGTCAATTTGCATGTCTGTCTTTTATTAGATTGGATACTGCTACTGGTACAAAAAAAGATAACTGGGTCACAGCAGAGAGTCCACAAAAAAGAAGATTTCAGATCAGTGAAGAAATAATGTGATATTCAATAAAACATTTTAAGACAATTGGATCTTCATGTAGGGCAGAAGTTCTCAACCTGTGGGTCGCAACCCCTTTGGGTGTTGAATGACCGTTTCACCGGAGTCGCCTAAGACCATTGGAAAACACCTATATAATTGCATGTTGTTTTTGTGATTAATCACTATGCTTTAATTATGTTCAATTTGTAACAATGAAAATACATCCTGCATATCAGATATTTACATTACCATTCATACAGTAGTATAATTACAGTTATGAAGTAGCAATGAAAATAATTTTATGGTTGGGGGTCACCACAACATGAGGAACTGTATTAAAGGGTCGCGGCATTTGGAAGGTTGAGAACCACTGATGTAGCGTGTATGTAGGTTCAGCACCCTGAACTTATAGAAGGGTAAATAGTTTTTTTTTTTCAATTTGAAAAAACAAAACAAGAAATGTTATAAAAAGAACTAGAAGAAAATATCAGACTACCTTCATACTGTGAGGTGACAAAGGCCTTGCTAACAACATCCACACCCCATAAACTATGAGAAGATCGGCAGATATGGTGACAGACTGTCTACACACAGCCTACCCTTCACAGCCCTTGCCCTCTTCCACCCTAGATTGTCCTCTTCCTGTTGATTTATGGAACTCTTTTTATATTAAATAATTTAATCCTAGTGGCTTTCATTGAATTTCAATGTTTCAAATATTCCCCAGTGTTCTTTCTATTGTTGTCAATCCTCACCTAAGGATGTTTTTCTCATTATTTTTCAGAGAGAGTGGAAGGGAGGGGGCAGGAGGGAAGAAAGAGAGAAATAGGAATGTAAGAGAAACACATCAACTGGTTGCCTCCTGCATGGCAGGTGCCCTGCAACCCAGGTACCCGCCCTTGTCCTGGAATCAACCTGTGACCCTTCTGTGCTTGGACTGCTGCTCTAACTACTGCGAAACAGCGGCCATGGCCTGGGTTTTTGTCTTTAAGGAGACAGAACAGTGGAGTAGGAAGCACAGACTTCGCAGTCAGGCAAAACAGGGTCCTGCTTTTGCCTTTGCCACTGGGAACTTAAGTCCATCTCCATCTATGGGAGAAGGTGGTACTATCTTCCTCACAGGAATGTGGGGATTGAATCACTCATTATGTATATGGAAACATCTTCATCCTGTGCTTGGCATCCACCAGTGCTAAGTTTGCTAATGGTGTCACAGACAAGGTGGTCAAATCTATCAAAGTTTCTGCCTGTGTTATCAGGCTCAAAAAGCTATTTTCCACCACCAGATTATAAATATATTGCTTTTATTTTCTTCTAGTACTTATACAGAATCTATTTTTTTTACAATTATGTAAATATGTTTGTTTAAGATGAGAAGTATAGACCTGCTATTATTTCCCCCTCAAATAGTAAGGTAGCTTTTCTATTCCCATTTTTTCATTTTCTTCCACTGATTAGAATATTAAAAGGTGACATTTCAAAAGTCTTAGGAACACATAGGTCTGAAGCCACTTGGTCTATACACATCTCTGCTCTGCTCCATGATGTGTTCACCTAGGTATTTCTCTCTTGGGGAAGAACATTTTAAAAAACTGTTTACCATATTTTTAAGTTCTCAAGGGAGGGGAATGCCTTACTATTGCCCTAAAAAAAATGGTGACACAGTTCACAAAAGGAATAGGAACAGCATGGCTGGAAGACTCAGGGTAAGCTTCATGAAGAAAGATGAACCTGAGCTGGCTTTTGGGAGATTCACAGGACTTCCCCAGGGAGAGCAAAATAAGGGAAATTTACATGAGCAAAGGCATAATAAAAAAAAGAATAAAGCATATCTCAGTGCTCATGATTAAAGAAGGGTATCAAGTAGGAGTAGCTGGGACAGGGGCTTTGATTTTCAGGTTGTGGGTTCTGAACCTCCTCTAAAGATGGAATATATATTGGAAATCTGAATTAACTATTGTCTTACCGTAATGAGACAGAAAAGTACAATAAAAAATGTTGTTACTGCAATCACAGGTGCTACCATGATCATTTTGTTTTTATATCCTGGAACTTCTTTTCTGAGCTAGAAGAGGAAGAAGAAGGAGAAGAAGGAGGCGGAGGAGGAGGAGGAGCAGGAGAGGGTAAAGGAAAACCGGGAGGGGGAAGAGGAGAGGGAAGAGGAGAGGGAGAAGGGGGATGGGGCAAGAAAGAAGTGTGGGGAGGAGTGGGAGGAGGGACAGGAGGAGGAGGAGGAGGAGGAGAAAACAACAACATTAAAAAAAAAGTCGCAGATATGGAAAGCATAAAAACGAACTATTCTCAAGCTTATTCTAATGAATTGCTAACTATTCTTGACTACTACTCTAAAACCCCACCCTTCCACATGGTTCTTAAGGAACATGCCAAATCTTATAGGCTCTTAAAGAACATATCAAATCTAATGTGTTATGTAATCTGAAAGTTAGCATTTTCTTGTACAATTTGTTTATATTGGAAGTTAGGTCCTCTTCTCATCTATCCTAGGAACAGTGGCACAAATCTATAAATGAGCAAAGTGGAAGTTCACTGTCTAAGCCAAAGTCACATGATGAATACACGATTCAGACGAGGTGCCCCTGGTCTTCCTACCTGGGTACTTTCATGGCATGTCCTAAACTGACTATAAGTCCAGGTCAGGTGTTTCAGGACCTGTCCTCACCTCATTAGACACCTTCTCTTCCTGCTCCCTGAGGGTTTGCATCCTCTCATCTTCCCATTGTTCCTCAGGTGTTTTTCAAATGATTCAGGGGCATATCTGCATCGTGTACATTTGAAAGAGGGAGTTTAATGAATGGTAATAAAGTTGATTCTATATCTTCTAGATTTCCCTCCAAGAAATAAGGCAATTGGTAATTTAGTGCACTATTAACATCACTTTTATCATTAAAGTCTAGCTGCTCACTCATAAGGGATGAGGAAGTGTCGCTATTTTTGATAGAGGATGCCCTCTCTGGCTCAATGGTCAGCTGAGTGCTGGTGTTCTGCCGGCCCTGTAATGTGTTCATTAGCGGTCCTTCTATTATGAGTTCTTCATCTGTCAAAAAAGAAGAAATCACATTTGATATTGAAAGACTCACAGGACAGCTATTTGTCAGACCAGAGCCTACATCCCAGTCCAATATGTAGGGAATCAGCAAATATTTGAGTGCCATTTGGAGAGGAGAAATATAAACCCCAACTTACATCTATGATTGTTGACAAAACAAAAGGAGAAACTGTCTCTTTTTTTAAAGTGGTTATTTACTTAGAACATTCCATAGCATGACATATGGTGACTATATTTAGGATTATTCCATTGGTCCCCAAGGGCCAATTGCTGGTTACTGGAGAAAAGCCAAGGCCAGAAAACCCAATCAGTTAGACTCTCTACAGATCTACTGTGACTCCTCACATTCACGCACCCCATCCTGTCCTGCTTCAGATGCAGAGGGAGCCTGAGGCTTCCTCTCTCCACTCTTTAGGATGCTTGTGTTCTTGCTACCATCACAGATGACCAGGATTAACACCCACTGCTAACACGTCCTCATCTGGACACACCCTTCTCCACTAACCTAGTGATTCCTTACTTGTGCCCTGCCTCCACATATGCCAGCTCCATAACAGATGGCTGTATACAGAAAAAAAAACAATATGTCTACCTTCGCTCTGTGCTTAAGATTTAGGCAGGCACTCGGAAAGTACGTTAAGAGACTTGCCAGGTTGTGTACCACTGTGGAATCTTCTCTCTATATATAAAAGCCTAAGCAACCATCACAACCGAACAGACAACCGAACAGACAACCGGACAGGCTGTGTGGGGCAACTAGGCCGGCAGGGGGTTAGTGAGGGGCGACCAAGCGACTGAGCAGCAGGCTGCGTGGGGCAACCAGGCCCACGGGGAGCAGTTGTAGGCGACCAGACCGGCAAGGGGGACAGTAAGTGGCGTCCAGGCTGGCAGAGGGGCAGTTAGGGGCGACAAGGCTCGCTGGGGAAGGGCAGTTGGAGGCAACTAGGCCGGCAGGAGGGGCAGTTGGGGGTGACTCGGCCAGGGTGGGGGGGGCAGTTTGGGCTGATCAGGCAGGCAGGTGAGCAGTTAGGAGCCAGTGATCCCATATTGTGAGTCAGACATCCTGCAAGGGGTCATCAGGCAGGCAGGAGAGCAGTTAGGAGCCAGTGATCCCATATTGTGAGTCAGACATCCCCCAAGGGGTCCCGGATTGGAGAGGGAGCAGGCTGGGCTGAAGGGATCCCCCCGATGCAGGAATTTCATGCACTGAGCCTCTAGTGTTCAATAAATCTATGAAATAATATTTGGGGTCCTAAAATACAGAAAGCGAGAAACAACTTTTGTCAGTTGCCGACTTTGCTATCATTTCATGTCATTTCTTATATTTTCAGCTGTACTTGGGAACCATCCAAAGCTTCTGACTGTGTGAAGGTCAAGTGCACCATTGTGCAGCTGGTACACAAGAATTTTCAGAAGAATTAAAAGTATTGCTGGTGGTGATAAGGGTCAGAGAAGGAGGTAACGTCCTGGGAAAGAGGAGCATGGGCTTACGGAGAGCCCAAAACTGGGAGCTGGAGACCTGGGCTCTAGGTGACAGCTCTTAGCCCTTTCTGGTCTTGTTTTTATTCAACTGTAAAAGAAGATTACAATGCCTATTCTGCCCACTGCTGGGACAGAAGGGAATAATATAATTGGTCAAATCATTGTTTTGAAAAATAAGCTACACTGACTTCATGTAAGTAGCACAGCAGTATTATTTCTGATGTGCCCCAGGTCACGATGGAAACCTGTATTTAAGCTATCTGGGCATGAAAGCACATTTGGGAAGTTATCAAGTAGCTGCCAATAAACCTAATGTGTAGAAAAATACTTAAAAGCACACGACTGTTTGGTGGATAGAAAACCTTGTGCTTCAGAGCAAGTTCAGAGTTGCACAGTCTAAAAAGAAAGAGCCCTCCCATGCCTTAAAAGGGCTGGGTAGCAGCTTCTGGTGATGAATCCGAAAACTCTCAGGTTCCAAATAAAACTTACATAAAACAGCATCATTTGTACTCTTTTCATAAACTTGCAAAAACAAACAAAATAAAAATGTCTACACTGCAAAGGGTAATTGAAACCTGATGCATACAAAAGAGTTTACAAACTGTGACACACTAATGAACAAGTTCTCATTTGGAAGTAAAGCACCCAGCAGACAGCACAACACACACGATGTGGCCATTAATGGAAATACCTTTCCCTTCATCTGACTTTTAGCAAGGAGTAGTTCTTAAAATTTTAGAGTTGAACTCTGATTAAATGAATAGAAATAATACGGTTACTTTATTTGTTTAAAAATGTATCGTCATTGATTACAAATATAAAAAATTTATACTAATAAAAGGGTAATATGCTAATCAGACCGGACATCTTCCAGACAAAGCCACAATGGGAGGGGCTGAGGCAGAGGCAGTTAGGAGTAATCAGGCCAGCAGGGGAGGGCAGTTAGGGGTGATCAGGAAGGCAGGTAGAATGGGTAGGAGCAATCGGGCAGGCAGGCACTTGATCAGTTAGGAGCCAGTGGTTCCGGATTGCGAGAGGGATGTCCCGGATTGGAGAGGGTGCAGACCAAGCTAAGGGACCCCCTGCCTGTGCACAATTTTGTGCACAGGGCCTCCAGTGAAAACATAAAATAAAAAAAAAGTCTATCATTGGGCAATTCAGACTCACCACAAGGTATGCTGGTCACACATTCAGTCTCACAATGCAGTTTGACTGTCTTGGCAACAGCCTCAATATCATTTTTAAATTGGCAGAGGCAGCAGGCCAAATGGTTAGGTAAGATACTATAAATGGAAACATACAGAATTATATTAGTGACAAAGGAGTTACTTGGAAAATAGTTTTTTAAAAACTTAAACATACACCTACTGTATGACCCAGCCATTCTACTTTCAGGTATTTACCAAGAGAAATAGAAATATATTTCCATAAACAGACTTGTACATAAATATTCATAATAGCTTTATTTGTAAGTCAAAAATTGGAATTCAAATAGCCATCAGTGTTGAAAATACTGATATATCCATTATTAATGGAATACTATTCAGCAATAAAAATGAATTATTGATATGCAAAACAACATGGACTAATCCTGTATAATAAAAGGCTACTATGCAAATCGACCAAATGACCTAACGACTGGTCACTATGATGCACACTGACCACCAGGGGGTAGACGCTAAACACAGAAGCTGCCCCCTGGTGGTCAGTGCACTGGCACAGGGGGAGCGCCTCTCAGCCAGAAGCTGGGCTCAGGGCTGGTGAGTGCAATGGTGGTGGCTGGAGCCTCTCCTGCATCCACGGCAGTGCTAAGGATGTCTGAGTGCTGGCTTAGGCCCGCTTCCTACAGGGAACCATCAGTTGGGCTTCCCCCGAGAGCTGGGCTGAGAGACCCCACTACAGTGCACAAATTTCGTGCATGAGGCCTCTAGTCTTAAAATAATCATCTGAGTAAAGGAAGCCAGTAAGAGAGAGTAGATACTATATGATTTTATTTATATAAAATTCTAGAAAATGCAAACTAATATATAGCAACACAAAGCAGATCAATGGTTGCACGGAAATTGGGGAGGACAAGGAGGAGTGGGAAGAAAAAAATATAAAAGGGACATGATACAGCTTTTTCAGGTTATAGACAGTTTGATTTTGATGATGGCTTTGTGGTGTACAGGAGGCAACCAATCAACCAATTGATGTGTCTCTCTCACATTGATGTTTCTCTCTCTCTCTCTCTCTCTCTCTCTCTCTCTCTACCTTTCTCTCTCTCTCTCTCCCTCTCTCTCTCTCTTCCCTCCACCCCCACTCTCTGGCTCCCTCCCATCATCACTAAAAATCAATGGGAAAAATATCTCCTGTTGAGTATTAAAAAAAAACAAAAAACAGCCCAGCCTGCCGGTGTAGCTTAGAGGTTGAGCATCGAACTATGAACCAAGAGGTCACAATTGGATTCCTGGTCAGGTCAAAGGCCCGGGTGCAGGCTCAATCCCCAGTAGGAGACGTGCAGGAAGCAGCTGATCAATGATTCTCTCATCATTGAGATTTTTCTCTATCCCGCTCCCTCTGCCTCTCCCTCTCTGAAATAAAAAATATATTTTTAAAAATTTTCTGGTCTTCATAGATACATTTAATAGAAGACACAACCTTGAAGAAGATATTTAGTAAACACATATCTGACAGAAAGGACTTTATATAAAACACTCTTAAAATTCAATAGTAAGATAAATATCCAATGAAAATGAATTTGAACAGACACCCCATTGAAAAATATATTTTCACATAGACATTCCACACCATCAGCTATTAGAGAAATGCAAATTAAAACCACACTGCAATACAAATGCATTCCTACTAGAAAGGCTAATTTAAAAAAAAAACAGAAATATAAAGCACAGGTGAAAATGTGGAGCAATTGCAACTCTCATCTACTGCTGGTGGGAAGGCGAGATGGTACAACCACTTTAGAACACAGTTTAGCAGTTTCTTCTTTACTAGTTAGATATGCACTCAGCATATGATGCAGCAATCCCACCCTTAGGTATTTTACCCCAAAGCAATGAAAACATATGTTCACACAAAAACCTGCATGTGAGTATTTTTAGCATCTTTAATTCATAATAGCCAAAAAACTAGAAACAGCTCAAATATCCATTACCTGATTACTGCAGAAACAAACTGGTAACACACAATTGGAAT